CACCCCCACTCCCTCTACACACACACACACACACACACACACACACACACACACACCCCCTACGTGTGCACACCCCCAGCGTCCCCCTACACAGACACCCCAGCATCTCACACACCCCTCCAGCATCCCCTTACACACACGCACCCTCGCGTCCTACACCCCCCACCCCCCCTATGCACATGCACACACACACATACACACACACCCCAGCATCCCCCTGCACGCACACACACAATGTCCCCCTACACGCGCGCACACACTTTCCTGTAAGGTTGGCAAGCTGGTCAACTGACCACATATTTTTTTGCCCAAAGATTACAGTGATTTTAGGAATATATATTTGTATGTTTCTTGATGGAAACATGATTTTTTTTTACTGTTTTCTGACACACTTTATAATGGAAAATTTGTGCTTTTTCTGCATCTTATTTGGACCTGTTGACATTTCTGGGGGGTGTTTTTTGTTTTGTTTTCTTTTTTACAATAGTGGATGGATATTTGACAGGTCAATTAAACAAACTGTATTTGACAGGTCAAATACCTAACTTTGCTTTGCTCCTTGTTCACGTGGTTCCCCAGCCAGACATGCGTGTCACACAGGATCCTTACAGCCCCCACTCCCGCCCCTGGCTCTCCGCCCAGGATGTGAGCTATGCACGTCCTGACCCGCTGAGAGGGGAAGCCAAAGCCTAGGGCAGGCCTCAGCCCCCCTGTTCCCAGCAATGTCAGCTGAGGCCTGCTCTGCTTAGCTCTGACCACCAAGGGATAGCCCCTGCCACATCTCCAGCCCTGCCTTTGTGGGAGCATCGCTATACACACACACTCCAGCAGCCAAGCTGAGGGAACAGACACAGCATGACCTTCACACCAGCACCAGTGGGGAGACATGGGGTGTTGCTCTGGGAGAGTTCATGTAACAACACTCCCCCCCACCCCCCAAGAGAAGAAGTGCTGATGGATATCCCAGGTGAAGGCTGGTACCAGCTTGTTCCACGGTACAATCATTTCTGAACTCTGTATGTGGGTAGCCCCAACACCTTGGGAAGTGCTTCACTCAGCTCTGTCCCACAGTACAGACACCTCCCAGCCTAACACCCCCAGTTTCAGCTCTCTTCTTACCATCCCCTGGAGCATTAGCTCCAAAAGAGAAAGGAAAGAGAGTGATACTACACCCACAGTCAGTGCGGGTCCCTGGTACAATGTTCCTAGACTGCTATGCGGCGAACACTTGTCTTCCCTAGGGTAGCCCCTGCTGCTGTGTTGGCACAGTTCCTTAGTGAAAAAGTGTATGCCAACAGGACTTTTTCACGGCTGTAGAACAGGGTGGTACCAACCAGGCCTGGGTGCAGACACAGCTCCACCAGCAAAGACATGTTTTCTGCTGCGCGCCGTGAGCTGGTGAGTCAGCATCTCCGGCAGAGCTGCTGGTAGCACAGCTGCCCATCAGGGGTCACATCCTGGACTGACTCAGCCTTGCCAAAGAAAGGTTGCAATGGGGACAGAGTGGCAGGTGGGGAAGTAGAGGACGGGGCAGGGGGGAAGTCACACAGAAACACTGATGGGGGAAGGAGGGAGACTGATCTGGGAGTAGGGAAAAGGGGTCCCAGGGATACAGGTGGGTATGGAGAGGGTACATTAGGGTAGCATGGGCAAGCTGCCCATGACCCCGTGTGTGTAATGCCTTTGGCTGACCAGAACAGGGTGCAGTACCCAGTGTCTGGCATCTCTGTGGCAGCAATGCCCTCTAGTGGGACGAACAGCAACAGCTCATGTGCTTGTAAAGATGTGCTGACAGGCAGGAGCTAAATTTCCCTCCTTCCTTAGTGCCAAGATGATGCTTTGGGAGTAGGAGGACCTGAACTTTCTGCCCCAAGCTCCCTACCACATGTCTAACAGCCCAGATGAAAAGCATGCAATCAAGAGATGGATACCCCAGACACTTTCATTCCAGGCATATTGCAGAGAGTGAGGCAGAGCACTGCGATACAGCTTGCTGGCTGCATACCCAAGTGTTGCCCTAAGCCAGGCACCACCACCCTCCCTGAGCTGCGGAGAGAACCCAGGAGTCCTGCCTCACGCTGTGCTACCCGTCTCACAGAAACACGTTTGTAAATGCAATAATTCTCTTTAGTTATTTATTTGTTTGTTTGTTTTAAACTAGCCTTTTCCCAGATCACTCAAAAACCCAAGATACAAAAATACTTTATCAGCTTCAGGTTCAAAACAAAACAAAACAAAACAAAACAAAAGAACCAAAAAACCCCCCACATGCACAAAAAGGCAGCGTTAAAAATAGAGGTTCTTCATTAAGGCATCGATTAAGGTTGGGGTTGCTTTCCTGAGTCAGAAATAGGACCCAGGTATCCTGAATCCCAGCTCAGCCTCTGCTCTACCCACAGGACCCCCTTCCTGAGTGCTGGGGATGGAACTCAGGGGTCCTGATGCTCAGCCCCTCTGCTCTAACCCATCGGACACCATTCCTCTCCAAGACGGGGCCCAGGGATTCTGGTGGACCCAAAATGTCCCAATCCCCATAATGAATTAAGCATTAAGCTAGAACACTTGCATTAAGCTAGAATAGGAGACCTGAACATCAGCAGGCTTTGGATTTTGCGGCACAGTTCCTAGCTAACTTTTAATAGGAGCCTGGCACTCACTGCAGGGAAGAGGCCCTATGTCCTGATCCCCATGTCTTGACTCCCCTGCTCTCCCCACACCTTCATTGCATCCACTGGCCACTGAAGTGTGGGAGGTCAGAGCCAAGGCCCCAGAAAGGGATGGACTTCCCTTCCTATTAATCATCCCTCCTTTCCAGCTCATCTTCATATCACTCGAGCCATTTTTTTGCCTTGTACCTAAATACAGAAGAAACAGTACCCTACTTTCATTTTTAGAAACCATTTTTCAAGACTCTTTTGCAGCACAGATTGGCAACATGTCCATCACTATGGGGAAGGCAGTAGGGAAGAGCCCAGGAGTCCTGACTTCAAATGCCTCTGAAACTATTAAACCCAGGGCTCAAAATAGAAGGCAGGAATCCTGACTCTGGACCTCCCCACTGTAACCCAGACTTTACTCCCCTCTCAGAGCCAGGAATTGAACTTAAGGACCCTATGAAAGAAGAGTGTTACAATGGGGGAGGGAGGAGAGAGACCAAACTCTACCCAGCTCTGTGAGGGCAATGGTACCTAGAAAGTGGAGCTGGGCAAGTGGGCTGGGAGCCCGGACTCATGGGTTCTACTGCAGCTCTGGGAAGGAAGAGTGATCCAGTGGGTCACAGCATGGGGAAGGGAGCCTAGACTCCAAGGTTGCTTTTGCAGGCAGCTGTGACTTCTAGGGACTCAGGAGAGATCCTAACACTACAGTACTAAGTGCAGAGCTAAGGGCATCAGTGCTTGGCAAGGTGGGGGGGGTGGGGAAGGGCACCACTGCGCCAGACCTCCCCCTAGGTAAAAGCCATCCAGCTGGGGCCTGCTCCCACTCAGCTCTCCTTGCTCACGACAGGGCCGTTGCGGGCCAGCAGGTCCCCATAGGCAGCTTCCTCACGGGAGAAGACCTGGAACTTCTTATCAAGCTGGGCGCGGAGGTAGAGGTAGTCCTGTTGGTCCAGGCTGTGCCCACAGGTCATGTAGGCGGTGAAGAGGGTGGCCAGCAGGAGGCGGTCCAGGGAGAGGCAGGGCACGGCCCACAGGATGAGGAGAAACTCCAGGTACACGGGGTGGCGCAGGTGGGAGTAGAGCCGCACGGCACGCACCGACTTCAAAGCCAGGGGGTCACCCATGCCCAGGCAGTGATAATAGACCTGGGGCAGGGCACGGCATGAGGGCGAAGCAGGTTGGAGCCGAGAGAGGAAAGACCCCAGGACTGCCCCCCTCGTGCCCAGGCAGTGGTAACAGACCTGGGGCAGGGGACCTGCAGCAGGTTGGAGCCAAGAGGGGAAAGACCCCAAGACTCCTTCCTCCCCCTTTCCACCCCCCCAAGCTAATCCCAGTCCCTGAGCCCCTGGATCCTCCTCCCTCCACCCAGTACCTGCTTGACCCCCATGAGCTCGGCGTAGTCGAAAATGAGGATGATGCTGAAGATGATGAGCCAGGCCACGAAGTGCAGGATGAAGCAGGCCAGCAGCACCCAGGTGGCCCAGGGCTCCGAGCGGGAGGCGTCCCATAGCAGCGGCCCGTCCCGCACCGGCTGCCAGCACCGCATCAGCACCTGCGGGCGCCCGCTCTGCTCAGCCCGGCCC